GGGGGGGGGGGGTGGGGGGGGGGGGGTGGGGTGTGGGGTGTGGGGTGGGTGTGGGTGTGTCTTGTATCCCGTCACACCCACACCCCACCCACACCCACACCTCATTCATACCCACACCCACATCCACACTCACACCCACACACACGCCCACACCCACCCTATCTGTATTATACGTTAAGATATGGAAGTCATGCATTTACTATATAATTGATGATATTCGGACTGATCAACATGATGATATGTTGTTTATATTTTATATACACATACATAAGAAAAGCTTTCAGTGTGCAGTCGCCGTAGGATTCGAATGTGAAATACGACGAGAAAGCTGCAATAGTTGTCTAAAGTTTTCGTTATATCTGAAATGAAGTGCGTTGAAGAGATATTGTTTCGAGTTAGAAATCAGACTCAAAATAAGTCATTCTTTAGATATATTCAGTGAGTTAAAAATTTTCCAAGGGAATGTTTGACAGGTTTTACTAAGACTTTTAACATTTTTTAGCAGTATTTTGTATTTTTCTCAGGCATAGGGCAAAGTAAATAGTGCATTCGATAGAACTCGTCGAGATGCATCTTGGTCCATCGTTGGTCTAATCTGATCCCTTCTGTGAGCGAATTTTTTCAAGAAATACTCGAATCCTGACCTAATATATCCTACGTGTCTTTTTTGGTGAAATAACTAAGGCATAGATAAAGTAGGGGTCATTTAAAAGTTTACTGTTTTCCCTAAAAAATACAATTCTTTACTGTCTGATATATTGATATATTTCATGACTTCTCTGAAAGTATCACAAGAATTTTGATTAGTATAATCGTGAAATTTTCAAAGTAAAAGTTGATTGAATATAAACATTGAGCACATATCAGAGATAATTTTTCTCCAAGCTAACCAATAAATTAAACAAGTCTGACAAAACTAATTTAGTTATCAATAATTTTTCTTATAAGTAATTGAATCAATGGTCTATCTAGCTTTCGGATATGATATTTTTATGAGAAGTATTACTTTTTCAAATCCAATTTATATTTCAAACGATCAGTAGAAACTGATCCTTCATTATTTCCTTCTTCTCTTCTATTTTTCAGATATATCAACTACCAATATGTTATTTTTTATTGTGTAATTTTTATCTTATATTTTCTGCATGAGGAAAATAATCATTGAGATGTTTGAAAGTAACCAATTTATCATACACAGATAACTTATTGACTTTGCTACAATTAACTCGCGTTCTATTCCTTGTAAAGTTGTATGTCACTGTTTGTAAAGAATCATAATCGACGACAAGATGAATATTATTTGATAGACAAGTTTTCGTATTATCTAGAAATTGTTCAATGTAATCATTATGGGTGCACAAGAGATTGAGTAAAGTAAGATGAGGATATTTAATAATTGGTAAATTTCGATTGTCGACGTTTGATTTCTGAAATTGTTCATAGTTTTGTGGTGATTCATTTTCCATAACTAATGTTTTAAGGAATGGACATGCTTGAGCAATTCGAATGAAAAATTCAAATTCAAAAGGACGTTTATCGCAGAGAAATATGTGCCGAACGGATTTAAATAATCCATCTGGAAAACTATTTGCAAGTTTGTAATAATATCTCATTTGAGATGGACACGTATAGATATGACATCGACCACTTTTTTCATTTGGAAAATAATCGATATAAGAAACAATTTGATAATCTTCAAGATCTTTAAATGTACGTTGAATGTCTTGATTTGATGGTAAATTAATTGAAAAATCAAGATGATTTATAATGGAGTGAATACTAAATACAAAATTCTTTAACTTTGGCATGTGACAAATAATATCTTTTTTCAAATTATCTCCATCGACAAATGAGTTATAAGGATCATATAAACGATCGATGATGAGATACAAGCCCATGTCGTGAGAATCACCGCGATTTTTGCGATTTGCTAAAAAATTGGCGTAAAATCGTAATTTATCATATTTCTTTAAAAGATCGACGATTATATCAGATTTTATCGCGATTATGGGAGAAGAGCTGATTTTCAAAAATCATTGATAAATCATGACAATTATTCATTCACCGTTTTGTTATGAACACACACGGATATATAAACAACGCCGTTCAATGCATAACAAATAAGTTTTCGAAATATACTTTTCTGATAAATTATTTCTTGGTTATTTTTAATCAAGGAAATGCCAATCCCGATCCATGATCTGGAGAGGACTACACTGAAGCAGTCTGATAAGAATTGGACCAGTTCGAGATCGGACAGATCGCACGATCTGATTGGCTTGGATCTTGAGAACAAAAAAAATTGAATTAAATTCAAGAAAAAATCCAAATATGTGTCTCCAAAAGAACCAATGAAATAGTAGAAAATATCAGTAAACAGACGGTTAAATCTTGCATAAAATCACGATTTATCGTAAAAATCGCCGAAATAATCGGGAATAATCGGCGATTCTATCGCGATTCAGCTCACGATTATCGTTTCGATGAATCAGGATTAATCGGCAATTTTTAGCCGATTCAAAGGACATGGGAGGATAGTTGTTCTATATTCGACATTCGATGTAGTAGAGGTATAACCGATTCTTCATAAAACAACATTATTAAATCACAAGTCAATGAAAAACATTTCAAATGGATTAATTCTTCCTAAAAAACAATAAAAATTCACTGATTTCTTTAATTCAAATAACCTACCTTG